GGGATCTTGGAGAGCATGGGTAGAATCTACATTACATGTTTTTTGAGGTCACGGATTATTTTCTGTACAAACTATTAAAACATAGTATCCATACAGAAAAGTGTACAGATACGTACACAGCCTGGAGGACAGTCCTGTGGGAGTAGCACCGAGATCAAGAAGTAGCTTATTACCAGCCTCCCAGACACCCCGATATGAGCTTGCCATCCTTTCCAAAATAACCACTCACCCAAGTTCTAGGAATTTCACGTCAATGGAACCATGCCATATGTGCTTTAGTACATGGCTTCTTTTGCTCAACATAACGAATGTGGGATTCACTAATATGCAGCAACAGTTTTCCACCGATAAATGTCATCATGTATCTACTATCCCAGCCATGGGCCTTGGGCTATTTTCAGTGTTGGGCCATTCTGAATAGTGCTGCTGTGGACATTGTATGTGTCTTCCAGTGAACTTGTGAACACACCTCAGTGAAGCCATTGATTGGAGGGGATTGCTGAGTCATAGAGGATGCCATGCTCAGCGTTGCTAATATGGCGTTCTCCCTCAGGGTGTGAGCGCTCCAAGTGCATCTCCCCCTCACTAATATGTGGTATTTTCCACTTTGCTTTTAGACTTACCACCTGGTGAGTGTATATTGTTACCTCCTTAGGATTTTGATTGCTTTTCTTGATGAATAATGAAGTTAATCTTTTCATTTATTGGCCATTTGAATATCTTCTTTTGTGAAATGCCTGTTCAAGTCTTTTGCCCTTTTTCTATTGAGCTATTCATCTTTTTCTCATGGATCTATAGAAATTCTCTAGCCCTGGCGAGGTAGCTCACTTGGCTGGAGTATCGTTTCCATATGCCAAAGTTGTGGGTTTAATCCCTGGTCAGGCCACCGACAACCAACCAATGAATGCATGGATAAGAGGAACAACAAATAGATATTTCTTTCTGTCTCTCTCTCTACCACCCCCTCTCAAACTCAATACATAAAAGTAAAAAAGAGAGAAATTCTTTATATGTGCTGTCATTTCTCTCTGTGTGTGTCTCCAGGCTATTTCAAAGCATGTGCGTATGGCTCTTCAGGTTGTCGTAGAATGAACTGCACACATGGTAGGGAAAACTGCTCTTGTTGAATGAATGAGGCCTTTATTTCTTTTGTTTATTTTTTGGTTTATGCTAACAGCTTAATTGAAGTATAATTTACATACCAAAAATTTACTTGTTTTAAGTGTACAATTCAGTGATTTCCTGAGTTGTGCAAGCATCACCACAATCCAATTTTAGAACATTGTCAGAGCCCCTGGAAGCAAGCTTATGTACGCTCTATTACCAGCCTTAGCCCCGGGCGATGCTAATTTATTTACTGTCTCTTTCAGATTTGCCTTTTCTGGACATTTCATATAAATGCAATCATACAGCAAGTAGGCTTTGGTGCCTGGTCTGTCACTTCGTTTTTGAAATTCATCCATGTTGTCGCATGTGTCAGTGCTCCACTCCTCTTCATGGCCCAGTGACTATTCCATTGCATGGGCATGATAATCTTGTCTATGTGTTCAGCAACTGAGGGACATTTGGATTATTTCCACTTTTTGGCTATTGTAAATAGGCTGCTACGATCATTCCCTACACATTTTTTTTTTTTTTTTTTTTTTTTTTTTTTTGGTGGCCATTTGTTTTCATTTCTCTTGGGTAGGAGGGAATTGCTGGGTCATATGACAAATTTATGTTCAACGTTTTAAGAAAAGGAAACCCTCATATTTCTCTGCCATCCAGCGGCTGATGATGGAAAGGCATATGAAGCTGTCTTGGATAGAAAAGAAACATCTGCCAGCATCTGGAAGTGAAATGCACCACGTAGAGAGAGAGCTAGGTGTTTACAGTCTAATCGAGATGTTCTAACTCATGTGCTTATACACTAACTTGGCAATACGGAAAATTGGAATATGAACAGGGGTCCAGATAATCTATGCAGAATTAATGCAGGAATGAATGCCCACTCTTTGCAGGACTCAATGCTAAGCTTTTCAAGGGATAGATGGAGGTTTAAAACAAGCATGCTATATTTCCCCTGAGTTACCACAAGTCTAATCAGTAAAATATGGCTTAGTTATCAAAACATTAAATAATTAAAACTTAAAATAAAAAGTTCAAGATCGTAATAGAAGACGGGGGAGGAAGAAAGCAAAGGGGAAAACAGATAAGAGAGAAACTCATCTTTCCTTTAAAATCTTTCAAGAAGACAGAAATGCAGAGTGTGTTGCTTTAACATTTTTGGCATTCCAAAGATGTAAGTTTTCACTTCTATTGTTGCACTGGAAGAAGAAGCATTGATAATAAATAACCAGGGCCAATGAACTAATAATGGCTAATATTTGAGTACTTAATGTACCTGGTATTGCTCTAGTTTACATTTTTACTCAATTAATCCTCTTAATAACTCTATGATATAAATATTACTATTATTTTCTTCTAATAATGAGAAGGAGGCTCAGACAGGTTAAGTAAATTGCCCAAGAGCACATGGCTAGAAAGTGGCAGAATTGAGGTTTGGATGCAGAGAGTGCAGAGCCTACACATTTAACCATCTCAAGTCCCATATTCCAGCTACTGGATTCAGTCTCAATCACAGATGGGGAAATAGACCGAAAGGCCGTAGGGGTTTGTCAGAGGTTATGCCATTGATTAGATCAGGCCAGAAGTTTCACTGACTGACAGAAGTTTCACTTCTATCAAGAAAGACTGCAACATCACCAGAAAGCCCTTTCTTTTTTCTTTAAAAACAGTTAACTTTTTTTTTGGGGGGGGGGGGGGGGGGGGGACGCGGAGAGAGAGAGCACGCGAGAGCCCTCGGTTGTGACCAGGAATTGAACCCGAGAGTTTCCAGTGCTCAGGGTGACATTACAACCAATTGAGCCACACTGGCCAGGGCGGAGATCCCTTCTTTAAGATACTAGTTGTGGATGGTTTATGAAGACAGTGCCCTGACTCTGGCAAGATGGACTAAAGAAAGAAGCACTTGATGTACAATAAGCCAGACCTGAGTTCAAAGCCTGGGTCTACTGTTGACCAGCCATATGAGCATGGGCAAGTCAGACCCTCAGAGCCCAGTTTCTCTCCCTGTAAATGAGGGGCAGTGACACACCAGCTCACATGATTACAGAAGCGAAATGAAAGAACTGGGAGACACGGCCAGCATGAGCAGTTTTGGTGCTGCAGCAATGCTTGAGGTGGGTGATCTAGCGCTGAAGTGTAAGGAAGGCTGTATAAGCTGACATTTCTCAAGTCCAAACTGGATCACAGGTTACTCATGAGCACCATGGAAGATTCTGGGTGGAAGGAAGGTTCTGGACCAGCTCTCCTAACTTGAGCTGGGCCCTACCAGCAGGTATGAAACCGGAGGTCAGCCTGCGAACAGTCACATGTTCCCCTGATACTGGACATTTCAGACACTTGAATAGGTCAGTTACTTTTAGTGACTGTTTTCTATAACAAATTTTGCCGCTCAACATTTAAGGAACTCTTACTGGTGCCCATGGTCAAGTTTTGCTTCTCCTGTTTCTAAGCCACGCAAGGGCTTGTGAATTTGCAATTGATGGAGTATTATAAACAATCTGCGTTTGTCAACTTGCCTGTGGCCAGAGGTCACATTGCATTGCTCAGGTGAGATGGCTTCAATGCAGAATATGGCTCAATAGTGATTCTCAAAGCTGGGGTGGGCCTGGTCATCAGCATATTTTAAAGTTACTTAGGTGATTCTAATGTACAGCCAGGACTGAGAACCACTGATTCAAAGCATAGAAAGATGCGAAAGCTCTTAAGGCTCTTATAACCTAAACTGATTTTGTAAAGTATGTCTAGGCCCGAGGTCGGCAAACTGTGGCTCTCGAGCCACATACGGCTCTTTGGCCCCTTGAGTGTGGCTCTTCCACAAAATACCATGGCCTGGGCAAGTCTTTTTTGAAGAAGTGGCATTAGAAGAAGTTTCAGTTTAAAAAAATTTGGCTCTCAAAAGAAATGTCAATCGTTGTACTGTTGATAATTAGCTCTGTTGACTAATGAGTTTGCCAACCACTGATCTAGGCAACCATAGTGAGAGATAAGGCAGGAAAAGTATTATGGAGGGCCTGCAACACACAGGTTGAGAAGTCTCTACTTAATTTAATAGGCAATAGGGAGCCATGGAAGGTTACTGAGCAAGATGTAGGGTGAGCAGCTAGAAGTATACAGAGAAGGTCCAGCTATATATAGTTTAGAAAACGGACTTAAAGTTTTTCTATGGCGTTGGCTAACAAAGAAACCCAGCTTTCTTTTACTGCTATATTCTCAGTTCAAGGTCAGCTTCCTTCAGCACCCACGTTCACTGGCTTTTGTAGGTATCTGGAACATGTCCTGGAACGAGGCAGCCTCCCAGGAATGTTTGTTGACTGAGTACATGCATGTGGCCCATCTCCATATCAGGAGAACTGGTGCCTTGGGCTAGCCCCTTGGCATGCAAAGCGGTGAGGGCCGGTTCTCTTACCATTCCCTTCATTTATCCTCTAGGGTCTGATTCTAATTCTACCAACTCCAATTCGTCCCCTCCCTGTGGTGCCTCCATGCAATACGCTGCCACCTGGCTGGCTTCCTGCTCTGGCACCAGGCTTCAAACCCGTCTTTCACCCACTGTGCAGTTCCCAGCGAGACAAGTTCAATCCCAAGTTCAACCACCACGGTGATGGCCACAAACACATTCCCCTAGGGGCACTTCAGAGGGGGTGCCCACAGCCTTACCTAGAAAACAGGCACAGAGGGGCGTTTCTATTCCAGCTGCCCTAGGTATTGGGGGTGTGAATGAGAAGATCCCTCCCCAGCGACCAGACCCTGTGGCGAGCGAGCGCCCGGCCCTCAGCGGGCGTGGCCGCTCCGGCCCAGCCCCCGCCCCGCCCCCGCGTCGCGGAGAGAGATCCTCCGCTCGCTCGGCCACCCAACCGCCAGCCCCTCTCCGCGTCCGCCGGGCCCCTCCCTCGCCGCGGAGCCCCGCGGAGGGGGATGCTCGGGACCCCACCTCCCCCGGGAGCCGCGCCTTTCCGCGTGCCCAGGAGGCCCCGGCTCGGGCGGGCTCGCAGCGGTGGTGGCCCGCGTGCCGCCGCCCCGGGAAGTTGTCTCCGGAGCCCGCGGCGCCCGGGTCTCCTCCCCCTGCGCCCCGCCCCCCCGCCCGGAGCTGAGATCTGCGCGCTGCCCGGCCCGGGGGCGTCGCCGCCGCCGCCTGCTCTCCGACACCAGCGAGTCTCCGCTTCCCGGCGCCGAGCGCGCGCCCTCCGCCCGGCTGGGGACCCCCGCGCACCCCCGACACGGCGCGCGCCCAGAGCGCGGGAGCCCGGAGCGCCGGGCGCCTGGGACCCCGCGGAGCCGCTGCCCAGCCCGCGGGGCTCGGCAGGGATGCAGGCTGCGCTGTGAGCCCGGGCGCCAAGGCCATGTCCGGCGCCCGCTGCCGGACCCTGTACCCCTTCTCCGGGGAGCGGCACGGCCAGGGGCTGCGCTTCGCCGCGGGCGAGCTCCTCAAGCTGCTGCAGGTCCCGGACGGCGGCTGGTGGGAAGGCGAGAAGGAGGACGGGCTCCGCGGCTGGTTCCCAGCGAGCTACGTGCAGTTGCTGGAGGTAAGGGGCGAGGGGCCGGGGGTTGGGAGGGAGGTCTGGGGCTCCGGTGCTTAGCGCGCTGGCAGACCTGTTGCCTGCTCCCGGGCTGCCGCGGCCGCCCTATCCGATGGGCGCCCCGGGGGCAGCCGGAGCGCGCCCGATCCCTGGTTCCGCGCTCCTGTGGATGGGAAGGCTGTGGGCGCCCCTTGAGGTGCATGCGGCGTTGGGATCGCCCCCTGACCGCCCCCCGGTGCCGCGCCTCCCGGCACATCGCCGCGCCCCCGGGAAGCCAGAACTTGTTGCCTGTGCGAGTTCTGGAGCGGGAGGGCGGGCGCGTTCCCGGCAGCGCCAGGGGCCGGCGGAGGGCTGCTGAGTCCAGAGGTCTACGGGAGATGCACCAAGTATCTGGGATTGGGAAAGTGGCACCCCCTTGTCCCCTCAGCCCCGCGTCTGGAGCCCGGAGCCTGCAGACCCGTGGATGGTCTTGCTGCCCCGGATCAGGCTGCCTGGCCGCCTCGGGCCGCCCACTTGCTGGTCAGCTGAGCCTGTCTGGCCACCAGCCCTAGCCCCATCAGCAGGCTTGACTCAGGGGTGCCACAGCCTCCGGCTAGCGCCCCCTCCCCTCCAGAATCCGAAAGTGGCCTGTTCCCGGGGTTCTGGCCTGACCCCAGGGCTACAAGGACCTGTGGAGCCAAATCCACTGGCTGCTTATTGTCCGGGTGACAGTTGGGAGGGCTCTCTGTCCGCTAATCGCTGAGCTCATGGTCGCAGCCTGAGTGGGATCGGAAGTTTCTGAAGTCCTGGAGGCGGAGGTGGGAGGGGGCTGAGGAGCGGGAGGTGACCTTATAGGACATCTCTTTTAGTAAAAAGGCTGTCTGACCCTGTAACCCGGGGAGTGTTGTACTGAAATGAGAGGTTCCCCACCAATGTGTACGTATACAGAACATTCTGGTAAAAAAGGCTGCCCAAATCATGGAGACTGAATTTGTTTATAATTTAACCCTGACCTACTTCACAAAGAACAAAGTAGCAAATTTTGACAGCAAATGCTGCTTGCAGCTCTAGAAAGGAGAGAAAAGGAAAGCAAAGAAGAAAGATAGAGGTGAAATGGTCACAGGGTGAGCTTACCTGGGAAGTATCCAGTGGAAACCTTATTAAAGATGGAGCCTGGCCTCTTAGAGGCACATGGTCCAGAGCAAAACAGCAAAATCCCCCTGAATGAATTACGCAGTAGTATTTGAGAGCAGATAAGCTGGAAGATACCTCCTCTTCCCCTTCTCTCCCTCACCCCCGACGGGCCTCAGAGTATGGTTCCTAACCTTCTTGTTCTATATATTTGAGCACCTGTGAGTGTAGGAGAAGCTCAAGTGCACAGATTCGGGTGTGAGGGTAAGCGAGTAGTTTCCTACCAAGGCCCGCACCCTCCTTCTTTTCTAGCTCCCAAGCCCCGCGGGAGGCTCCTGTTTTAGAGTTCCCGCGGCGGCCACACTTTTCCAGGAAATACTGATGTGGACATTTGGCTGTCGATGTCTGTCTGGCGAGGAGGCGCGCCCCTGGCTGGACTCGGCCAGCTGTGTTTTGGGTGGGGGTGAGGCTGGTGGATTTGTAGCCCGTGTTGGTAAGATGGAGTGTCTCTGCATTGCTTAGTGGTGGAAAGGGAGGGTGGACCATACCCGGGGGGACGAGCTGATGATCTGCTGGGACAGCCTGGGTGTGTCAGCCACATCCCTCGGTATTTACATGCTTAGGAAATCTCTGGTGCCTAAGGGGCTTTCTCAGACAACTTCCACCAGGACTGGTGATGGAAGGACCTCAGTGTGAGCAGCTCTGATGAGAAGCCCTTTCATTCGTTGAGCACCTAGTAGGCTGAAATACTAGGTGCTAGGCATGGTGCATACACTGTCATCCGTTCCCCTGTCAGCTCTGTGAAGGGGGAGGCGCCATACCCATTTTACAGGCCAGCAAACTGAATATGAGAGAGGGGGAGGGGATGGCCCCAGGAGCAATGCTTGCACATTTGCTTAGCAGCTCAGGTGGCTCCGAATTACGTCTGTACCTGTGTCTCTTTTAAACATGGTGGCCTGGGCTCAGTGGTCCTAAAAGGCCAGCGAGGGAAGGGCGTGGATCCATGTGGGAAAGGGCAGGTGCAGCCCTGGAGGTCTGCATGGTGGAGACAGCATTCCTAAGGGGAGGCTGAAATACTGGGGCTGAAATGAGGTCAGTTACTCCTTCCCTCTTGGAGCATCTCTCCCGCTAACCCTGAAGCTTGGTTTCACTCAGAGCCAGCTGGTTTCCCCACAGGTGGAGGCAGGGGGTAGGGTGGGGGTAGGAGTGAGGGTGGGGGTTTGCGCTCTGAGTCCTGGCACTTGTCAGGGCCGAAGAGATGCAGCTTTGACGGAGAGGGTTAGAGACCAGGTTTGTGTCTGTGAGCCTCACCTACAAGCAGGCTGGGCTTCGGGACTGAGAACTGGCCAGGGATGAAGGCTATGCAAGGGGAGCCCCTTCGGATGGACGGGAGAGTCCTCAAGGACAGACGGACTTGGTGGGGAATGCAGAGCTCCCAGAGGAGTGGCTGGGGGTGGACTGGCCAGCATATGGAAACACGTGCCTGGAGGGACACCAGCCAGATGTGTGTCAAGGCTGAGAGCGAGTGCAGAGACCAGGAAGCCAGAGAAGGAGCCCACTGGTCCTGACAGCGGTAAACCTCCTGGATGTTTACCAAAGGGGTGGCTGGCACTGAGCTTGCTGGGGCCTGGAGTTCAGAAGGCCAGGGGAGCTCTAGGGGACAGCAGTACAGACGGAATGGGCAGCACCAGTCTCCTGGGGGAGGAGTGGGATGGTGGGTGCACAGCCGGGAATGGCAGCTCTACTGTAACCGCCACCCCACATGGAAAAAGTGATACCGGGAAAACTCCATCTTTTTATTATTATTATTATTATATTTTTATTGAGAGATAGAAATAGCAATGATCAGAGAGAATCATCAATTGGCTGCCTTCTGCTCACAACGCATTGGGAATGGAGCCCGCAACCCGGGCATGTGCCCTGCCTGGGAATTGAACAGTGACCTCCTGGTTCCTAGGTCGACACTCAACCACTGAGCCATGCCGGCCAGGAAGAAAACACCATCTTGATGGAAGATGACACTAAAGGTTGAGAACAGTATGTGCAAAATGGACACTCCCCAAGGATGTCTTTCTTGTTCATATGAAAACAAGAAAAAAGGAGAACTGAGAGCCCAGCTTTGCAGGAAGCAGAGCCCATGAAGGGGAGCTGGAGCAAACCCTAAGAGGGCTGACAGATCTGCCCTGGCGGCCAGCCAGGCCTTGGGGAGCGGCCAGTTTGGTGGATTCTGAGCCTGGTTACTAGGGAAATCTCTTTGGTCAAGACTCCGAGGAAAGGGGCAGCCTCTAGGAAAACCTCAGAGGAGTGCGGAGGGCCAAGGACTGGCCTCAAGGATCTCGGCTCTTCAGGGGATGGGGCAGCCTTGCAGGGGTGGCCAGGGGGGAGGGGGATCAGTTCCTCCCAGAAAAGGGAGGGGGCCTTAGATCAGACCCGCACCTGCTGCCCATGACGTGTAAAGGCCCATAGGTAGAAGCAGCCAGAAAAATCCTCCTGGGGGGTCTTGTCAGCCATGGGGAGGAGAGCTGAGAACTGTCCTAACCTTTGAGACCTGGCCAAGGAGGAGCTGTGATGAAGGAGGCCTCATATGAGGCTGGAGTCTGCAGAAGCACATACATTCTGTGGGCTCCACGCCAGGCCCCAGATCACCTCCATAGACATGGAGGCCCAGCAGGGGAGGAGGTTGTCACCAGACTTTTGGGTATATGGAGGTTGAGGAACAGCTTCCGGAAGAGACAGAAGGAGGAGGGAGCCGGATCTCCATCCCAGGGAAGAGCTGGAGAGGCAGACATGGCCCACTGGCTGGGCAAGTCCAGTAGCCTAACCCTGGCCCAGGAATTCCCTGTGGCCTGCTTTTCCCTGGAATGGAGATCAGAGGTCAGGGGCCTGGAAGACACTGTATGACATCTGAGAAAACTCCCAGAGCTTTGGGAAATACTTCCGGGGTTAGTAAGATTGGAACGCAAACACAACAGACAGAACTTTCCTTGACCCGCATGCTGTTCCTGGAATCCAAGCTCTGGCTGGAGGGTCTGGACCTCAGGTACAAACAGAATAGGATGCCGTTGGCCAGGAACTCAACAATTGTAGGGAGTCACCCTTGAACTTGGCCTCTTTCTCTCTGCCTTCTCTTCCCTGTGGTGACTGTGCTGTGGAGTTTGCGAGGTGTGGCTGTTGGAGAGAGATGTGGAGCTTGGGGAGATGGCTGTGCTATCGGTAATGAAGGAACAATGTTTTATCTCTTGCTACGCAACAAGCCACCCCAAGATGTAGTTCTCAGAACAGCCATTTATTGTCATCTCACACAACCTGCGGGCTGACAGGACTCATTGGGGGGTTCTTCTGCTGGCATGTCTTGGAGTCTCCCATGCATCTGGAGGCAGTTGGCGCCGGAGCTGGAGTCCTGGAGTGTCCCCTCGGCTGGCACCCCCAACATGGCGCCTCGGTATTCTTCCGTATGGCCTTGCTCTCCACGAGGTGGCTCTTCCTCCAGGGCCTTTCCATGTGGCCTTTCGCTTCAGCAGGGCACTTGAAGTTTCACACGGTGGTTGGCTTCCAAGAATGCGAAAATTCACATCATCTGGCCTTCTTAAGGCACTTCGGTCAACTAAGTCACAGCACCAGTCCAGATCCGGTGTGGGCGGGAGGTGCCTACAGGTGGATTCAGGGAGGCCAGGTTCACTGACCACCATTTTGCAGACCAGCTGCTCTGAAGGATAGGGGGAAAGCAGCCCGGACAGATGATCCATTCCAGAGGAAGCAGTGCCAGGCCAGACGGAGGAGGAGAGGGCCCCCAGAGGGAGGGAAATGCAGGAGACTTGGCCGACTGCTAGGAAATCCTCCATTGCCATCCTTGGCGGGGTTTCTTCTCTTTCAAGATGCCAGGGATTTCTTTATAA